ACACACTGATAGTGGCAAACTACATCATAGCCACAGCTGCCCTTGGGCTCTAAGACAGAAGCGAGGCTGCCACACACAGGCGCCACCAGCCCCTCTGACCACCACCAGTAAGCAATGTAGTTTAAGTGTCTTGCCCAAGGACACAACAACACTGAAATTTGGAGCTGGGGCTTGAACTGACAACCCTCCGGTTGTAGGGCAAACTTCTACAACCGACGCCACCGTTGCCCCTTTATTTATATGATACAGCCGCAAATAAGTATTTGGACTCCTGAGAAAATTAATATTAATATTTGGGGCAGAAGCCTTTGTTTGTAATTCTACAGCTCAAATGTTTTACTGTAGTTTTTCAGATGGTTTTGCATGCACCACATGGGTAATTTTGGACCACTCCTCCACATAGATCATCTCTAGATCAGTCAGCTTTTTGGACTGTTGCTGAGAAACACGGAGTTTGAGCTCCCTTTAATGATTCTCTATTGGGTTTAGGTCTGGAGATTGGATAGGCCACACCATGTTTCTTACAGAACCACTCCTACATCTCTCACAGTGGACATGCACCTACCATGACAAATTCAGACCCCTCCATGATTTCTAACTGAGAAAATTGCAAAATAGCATGGCAATCAAATACTTATTTTCCTCACTGTACTATGCAATGTGAGTAAAGGAATGATGCATAAACATGTTAAAATAAAGGTAACAATTGAACATGATTGCTCTGTGCAATATCATCAGCTTTGCAATCATCATTGTCATCAAGTCTATGCTAAACCGCTGTAACTGTACTGGTGTGTGTATAATATAAAATACAATTAGATCAGAACACTGGATTGACATTCAGCTAATTATTTAATATCAAAGTCGATATCTGATACAACACAGGTAGTTGTTGAAAATGGAAAAGAAAAAGAGGAGTTGTGAGATTATCTTTTTTAGGCATCAAAGCATATGTCCCCAAAGTTATCTCACTGTATAGAACAGACTGCTAGATGAAGCAATTAGAAAGAAAAACATGTGGGAGATATTTGGTCTATTGCAAAAAATGAAACAAACAGAAAGCAATGAAGCTGCTGATCACTGATCAAAGCCTGTCATATCAAAATTGTCTGATTCTACTAGTCTATGCAGTCAACTAATTACTGCTTCGTTAATATAAATCAGCATTTAAACAGAAACTCTGCCGTTAACTCAATCTTATCTAAGTTGAACATTGGTGAATTGTTTCTGTGAGCTGAAAACCTCAAGTTTCCTTCTGTTAAATGATTTAGAACTCAAGTTAATTCTGCTCTATTGTATATGAACAAGTAAAAGCTTGATTTTACTTTCCTGGGTATCCAAAATTGTTTAATGTCCAAAAGACCTTAACTAATCATCTGTGAAAATACATTTCCTCTTTATATTGCAACAAAAGGTATTAGGTTGATAATACACACTTTGTAAGCTTTAAATGAACTGAGCACTAAGCATTCTGAAGATATGCCATCAGTTGAAAATAGATAAAAATATCTAAAACAATGGTTTAAATGTGCTACTCCTGTCCATGAAAACAAACTCTACTTCTTTAGTAGCAACGACATGCAATGTAAGAACCACTTCCCCATGGAACTTAACTAATACCACCAAAGCCTTCCAAGCTAAATAAGAGCACTGACAACACACCGTTATAGCCCTGTCAAAACTGCAGCTCTGCAGTGAACCCAGACCAGGCACTCCTGCACTATCAGCATAGAAAACACCTTAAGAGTCAGGCCTGTCTGTTGAAGGCACAGATAGCTGACAGAGAAAGGTTTTTAACACGAGTGAGACATTCATTCACTGTGCTCAGGCGTCCACTCAGTAAGCTCAGCCTCAGTAAATCATTGATGAAAGAAAATCTGAAAATATCAATTTTAACCAATTGCAGCTTCCACTTATATTTGAACCCTTTCATGCAAAGAGCGCTCAAAATGATCATCAAGTTAAAATCTGGTTTTCTTGCTTTGCTCTTTCCTGTAATTATTCCTCTTACAAATTTAAAGTCCAAATAAGAGATGAGGGATAAACACAGACTGACTTCAATCCTGAAAAGTGCCAAAGTAACAAGAGAGTTTGTGCCAGGAACTATAAAAACATGTGACATAGAGTCGCAGTAAAGTGACTATACATTTAACACCAAACCGTATCAGTAAAAGACAGGCAGAAAAGACAAACTCAGGCAAAACAGTAAACGAACGTAGATGCCATATTTTGACATATGCATTCAGATGTGTAAAGCAGTAATTGGTAACAAAGCTTTTTCTGATTCGGAGTATGCAGGGAAAGAAATACATTCGCCTGTGTAACTTGTGAAAATCTGGGATAATTAACCATTTAACAAGCTACATGACTTAAAAAATTATAAATTTGTTTCTGCAGCAGTGAGAAATTCCTCTGCTTAGCCTTTCTTGAAACCCATAAAGAGCGAGGGTGATTTGTTTTGACACCGAAGATAAGGAAAGAGGAAAAGAAAATACAAAAAAAAATCCCATCCCAAGGCTGAGCGATATATAGAGGCTAAATATATTTACACAACACACAGCAAGCCTCTAACAAAAGCAGAGTTCCAACAGTAGGGCACTTCAAACAGAATGCATAAGCAGGGAAACAAAGATAGCAAACACAAAGCCAGAAGTGTGCATTCTGATAAACCCATTACTCAGAGCCAAGCACCCTGACTGCTTTATGACTAAAATGGTCTGATTCACAGCCCTCAGGAACACGAGTCTTTACTCTTTAGTCCACATAATTTTGGTTTATGGGAAAAAAGCAGAGCCCACACCCTGCCACCTCAGAGCTGCCTGCCTGTTCTCAGCTCTCTCTCTCTCTCTCTCTCTAGAATGGCTTAGGGACACACTGGGAACTTCAGACCAGTCAAAAACAAGAGGTTATTTGATTAGTATGGAATTTTATTAAGCTGTGGGTGGAGATGCATAGTAGCGGTGAGGGAGCCTTGGCAAAAAAGGCCACCATTCATTGATCAGGGGTGAGAACTCTAGAAAGAAAGTGATAAACGGACCCCTTGTGTGGGGATTCCACACAGGCACAGTCGCCACAGGTTTTTACTCTTAACTATGCAGAGCGTGTGGATATTTGGGTGAGTTTATTAGCCTCACTTGTATATGATGGGATGTTTAAAGCGTTTTGTTTTTTTAACAAACAAGGTAGCCATCTACAGCAGCCTATTCATAACAAAACACTGCAACGGTCTCGTGGGTGGGGTTTTAGGGCAGACTCCCACTTCCCAAACTGACAGTCTTTGATGCTTGGTAAGGTAGTAAGACAACTTCTACATCATTGTCAATATTGTTATGGACACACAACAAAAATGTGTTGTTTACAAACATGAAATAATAAAAAAAATAGTAAAATATTTTAAATTGTGATCAACTATTCATGTTTTTGGTTAGCTAGGATTACTATGATTTGTTTTTCTTTTTTCAAGCTCTCTACACAGTTAGGGGGTTACATACATGTAGGCTTCTAAGCCTTTAAACACTTTAGGAAAGCCCAGATGATGATGCCATGGCTTAAATAGAGGCACACCTCAAACACAATACTTCCTTCTGTGACATCATGAGAAAAATAAAAAAAAGAAGACAGGCTAAAAATCAAGCAAAGAATAATGGATCAGTAACTGCCTCCCTCATCCTGAAGGACTAGCTACATGTGCCTGAAAGTGCAGTATTTGTCTGCTTTACACATCAGGAAGAAGAGGATGCAACCCAGAGTTAAACAAGTCCAGTATCAACATTCACTGAAAAGCCACTTAGGAAAGAAGAAGTTATTACCCCAGTGGAAATAAAAGGCCAGGTCAATAGAGGGAAAACTAAAATTCAACAGTTTGAGCATAATCTGTCACATTTAAGGAAATTTAATCATACATTCCTGAGAACACCATAACAATTTTGTAGGTGGCATCTTCAAGTTAGGTGTTTTTTTTTTTTCCCAGTACAGGAAGAGTGGGTGCCTATCATATCTCTCCAAACATGTTTTCCCCCAACTTTGCATGTTTATAGTAGCAATCAGCTAAAATGATACACTTGTGAACTATAGCTCACATTCAATGCAAATTCAAAATGGATTTCGGTCTCTATATACTCAGGGAAAGTATGAATTTTTCTTTATGCCCCCAGTTGTGGATTCTTCTGACTAACTTGGATAATCCTATGATAAACTATAAATTAACCAAAATTTGTTAAACAATTTTCCACATGGGAATAACACATTTTTGCATGGGGAATTTGACAGGGCTAGGTTGACAACTGAAAGTGGTTTTATTTTTTTCCCAGAGCCGAATAAACAAACATGTTATGCATTATGTATAAGTGTTTAGAAGTGTTAACCAAGAAATCGGGCACCTTGGTTTTCTTATCTTTTTTTTTTCCTCGTTTTTCTTTTTTCTTTATACAATTACTAAACTCACCAAAACTTGACTATCACTCATGTATATATATGGATTGCTTATGAGCAATGTAATCAGAAAAATAATCACAGGCAATTTCTGAAAAACAAATAACAGCAATAGTTAATAAACAAACCTTATAGGTACTAAATTACCCAAACTGATTAAAACAGCAACATGTGCCAAAAAAACAGTTCATGTATTGTTGTTTTATTTTCTCTGTCATGTAAAAGGTTTTGGCTCTCCTAGAAAAAAAAATCAGCTGGGTGGAAGGAAATGTGTGAATCTTCTGATTTTAGAACAGGCTGCAACTACGTTTTCGATTTGACAAAATTATTTATTAGAAGAGAAAATGAGTGAACTAAGTTGGCCTGCATCAAATGTGCTGTCAGGTAGAGATGCTTACATATTTTCTATCTGTTGGGGGAAAATATGCCTTCAAGGCGTCAATGTCAGCTATTTTTCAAAGTGACAACTGAGACAATCTGTTGGTCTCGGAAAGAATTTCTGCTCCAAGGAATAGACTGACCCCGAAGAGTGGTAGCTAACAGGGCTAGCTAACAAGCTAAAAACTTACCAGTAGACAATCCGTGTTGATTTCCGACTTGGGGTCTTGTAACATAGCATCGATTTTCTCAAACCGTGCCTCCATGCCTTCTCCTCCAGACATTTTTGCTGCCAATTACAGTTCCAAGAGTAGGGTATGAAGAAAAAAAAAACAGCTCCCAGGCGAGGCAAGAAAGCTGGCTAGCTAGCTAGCTAGCTAGCCGTTGCCAGTTGCAGCTAGCCAGCCGAACGTCCCTTTCTTCGTGTGAACTTCACGCTGCACCTCAAAGAAAATACATCGCTGTCCCAGAGCTTTTAGAGAAAATTAAGACGTTCAAGTGGCACCTACCACTCCACATTTTCCAAGTCGGGGAATGTTTTCCCCCCTCTTCACTGCGAGTGGCAACCAACTTCAGTGTCAAAAGATAAATGCGGCGACAGATTAGACAACCGTAGGATGCCTCTGAGGATAAGGGCTTAAAACGTTGCAAACAAAAGGCAATTATAGGCAAATGCAATGTTCAAAAATAAACAGAGGGAAGACTAATCCAGGCGTGTTCCCATAGCTGTGCCAGGCCCATGCAGAAAGCCGCAATCTGACAGCTCAAAAGTAGAAGTTGTGGTGGAAAAAACTTCTGCTTCTTCCAAATTTCGAAGTTTAAATACGGGAGACGCTTTCAGGTTTTTCAACGGCAGTCCTTCCGCTGCGTCCCTTCAGCTGTCCGTGAAAGTCGAGTTTCCCCCCTTCTCAACAGCAAGAGCCTCACGACGAATATAAATAGGAATCACGTAAGTTGTGTGTTAGTTTTCGGAAAACAATCGCATACTGTGCACAATTTCTCTCACACAGCTCGGCCAACATGTCCGCCTTCCTGTTCAAACACCCCGGAGGAGCTGCTTCAAAATGTCAAAGGCAGTGCGCATGCGCGGCGCCGCGCCGCACCAAAGGAGCCCAGGCGCAACACGTTGCAATCCTAATGTTTCACTTAATCATTTTAAAAACACATTTTATAAAAATAATTAAAAAACAGAGAGAAATAATATAACATGTATAGATAATAAAGAAATACTATATTCCAGATTCTTCCAGTGATTCAGCTATTCTTTTCTACCATTTCCTGTTTGTTTCGGTAATATAAACCATATATGGTTTTCTTGGTCACACAGCGAAACATCGCAGTAAAAAAAAAAATTAAGAGCGCTTTAAAAGATATATGTTTTGCACGCAAATGTTACTTTCCTAATTTCTTTTTTGCCATTATTTTTACACAGTCGGGTATTTTCGAACTTGTGTAAAAATAACTATTTATAATAAAACACAATTTGTTGTGAAAAATAGGGAGTTGAACAGAATAAGTGATCATCATTACCAGTAGAGCTTTACCTTGTTCCTTTGAAGAGAGGGGGAATTAGATAGATAGATAGATAGATAGATAGATAGATAGATAGATAGATAGATAGATAGATAGATAGATAGATAGATAGATAGATAGATAGATAGATAGATAGATAGATAGATAGATAGATAGATAGATAGATAGATAGATAGATAGATAGATAGATAGATAGATAGATAGATATGCTAAAATAAAAATAAATACATTTATTTTCCATTAATGTACACTCAGCACCCCATCTTGAAAGAAAAAAACAGAAATGTAGACATTTTTGCAAATTTATTAAAAAAGAAAAACTGAAATATCAAATGTTCATAAATGTTCAAACCCTTCTTGTTTTGTGATGTTTAATGGCTATTGGCATATAATTTCAAAGTGCATTACTGCCACCTCATTCAGACCCTTTGTTGTGACAGTCATATTTAACTCACATGCCGTCCATTTATTCTGAGCTCGTTAAGAGGGTTCTGCTCCTTCATCGGAGTCCAGCTGTGTTTAATTAAATTGATTGGTATTGATTAGGAAAGGTAAACACCTGTCTATATAAGACCTTACAGCAGTTTCAGAGCAAATTAGAATCATGAGACAGAATTGTGGCAAGGTACAGATCTCGTCAAGGTTACAAAAGAATTTCTGCAGCACTCAAGGTTCCTAAAAGCACAGTGGCCTCCATGATCCTTAAATGGAAGAAGATTGGGATGACCAAAATCCTTCCTAGACCTCGCCGTTCAGTCAAGCTGAGCAATTGTTGGAGGAGAGCCTTGGCGAGGCAGGTAAATAAGACCCCAAAGATCACTGTGACTGAGCTCCAGAGATGCAGTAGGGAGATGGCAGAAAGTTCCACAAAGTTCTATAACTGCAGCCCTCCACCAGTTGGGGCTTTATGGCAGAGTGGCCCGATAGAAGCTTCTTGGAGGTGCAAGATGTATGAAAGCCTGCATAGAGTTTGCCAAAAAACACATGGAAGACTCCCTGACTATCACAAAGAAGATTCTCTGATCTGATGAGACAAAGATTGAACTTCTTGGCATTAATTCTAAGCATCATGTGAGGAGAAAACCAAGCACTGCTCATAACCTGCCCAATACAATCCCAACAGTGAAACAGGGTGGTGGCAGCATCATGCTATGGGGTGTTTTTCAGCTGCAGGGACACAAAGACTGGTTGCAATTAAAAGGAAGATGAACGTGTCCGAGTAGAGAGATATCCTGGAAGAAAACGTATTCCAGAGAGCTCAGAACCTCAAAATGGGCTGAAGATTCATCTTCCAAAAAGACAATGACCCTCAGCGCACAGCTACAATAACAGAAGAGTGGCTTGGGAACAACTAGCGCAGCCAGAGCTCATTTCTGGACAGACCTGAAAATGGTTATCAACCTACTCTCAACATCAAACTTGACAGGCCTGGAGAGGATCTGCAAGGAAGAATGGCAGAAGATCCTCAGGTGTGAAAAACTTCCCAAGAAGACTCATGCGTTTACTAGCTCAAAAGGTGCTTCTACTGAATACTGAGAGAAGGGTCTCAATACTTATGATGATGTAATATTTCAGTTTTTGATTTTTTTAACACGTTTGCAAACAAATTTGTTAAAAATAAATTGCTGAGTGTATATTAGTGAGAAATAAAAGGAACTTTATCAAATTTTAGCAAATGACTGCAATAAAAAGATTGAAAAATCTAAATGGGTCTGAATACTACGGAAGAGGATTAGGGCCACTGGAAAAAAAAAAAGTTAACTGATTTTTTTTTATTCTATTTCAGTATAGTATGGGAAAAAAGTCAGAATTCTGACTTTAATCTCAGAATTCTGACTTTTTTCCCATGTTAAACTGAAATAAAATTTAAAAATCAGTTTACATTTTTTTTTTCAGTGGCCCTAATCCTCTTCCGTAGAATACCTTACGTACCCGCTATAGATAGATATATAGATAGATTTTACCATCCATTTAGATATTTTATCGGCTTATAAGAAAAAAAGCTCTCGGTCCATATATAGCGGCAATACTAACACTATGATGACCAGTAGAGGGCAGTGTTCTAATAGATATGTCAGCACCCCCCAGATTTTGAAACAGAACTTTTGAATAAGGATCAATTTTCAATAAGGATGAAAATTCTATTTAAGTTAGGGATATATTAATACATAAAAAGGATAACTTTGCTGTTCAATAATTTTTGAACAGCAAAGTTATCCTGAACAGGAGCTTATACTTTTATCAATCAGCATACATATATCTTTATTGTCTTTTTTTTATCTATCTATCTATCTATCTATCTATCTATCTATCTATCTATCTATCTATCTATCTATCTATCTATCTATCTATCTATCTATCTATCTATCTATCTATCTATCTATCTATCTATCTATCTATCTATCTATCTATCTATCTATCGTTTTAGTTTAAATGTTTGTGTTTTTTTGCTACAGTTTGAGTGGATTTTTCTGCTGATCTGCACCAGTTCTTACAGTAGTTGTGACGTCAGCTGGTGGCTGGCTGTGCTCAGATCAGCTGAGTCTGAAGCAGCAGCGGAGGAGGCGCGTTTGGAGTCAGGGGCGCAACTTCACCTTCACAGACGCGACTTTCCACGGACATGGCGGCGGCGCAGCGTAACGGCTTCAAATGCCAGTAAGGTAAAGCCTAACATCGGGTTATTTTGCACTTAATGTATGACCGTACATGCATGCCAGAAAAAAAATGCACGACAGACTGTAGGAAGGTGGTCGTGCTCAAGCGGTCTGTCAAAAGTTTCTTCTTAACGCAGATTTTATCGGGGAAATGTGAGTGGCTGCAAAAAAAGTGAATGATTTGAGAAATCATTTTAAAGGGAAAAATTATCTTGACAAGATTCGTGAATAAATATGAGTAAACTTTTCTTTTTTGCTCTTTTTGATGCTGGTTTTCGCTTGGAAAAACCTGTTTTTCTTCATTTGTTTGGGAAGCCTCGCCTAATGCCTTAGATAGTTCACAGATAGCCGACTGTAAAGTCTATTGTTATTATTATTTGTTTCTGTCTATTTCATTTTATGTATTTTTTTTTATTATTATTATTTTTTGTGGTGAAAATGTAAAACTTAGAGGAAATGTATGTATCTTGTGAGCGTATTGATTCTGCGTGTGTTGAGTCATTGTTAATGATGTCAAGTAGGCTATATGAGGTCTGGGGCCAGATCACAAATTTAAGAGCTTGTCTGCAGAAACAGACAGTTGCCTAAGGCTTGCTGTTAAAACCAGCTGAGATGAAATCCTATCGGATGACAGTAAGCAGAAGTTATCTTTGTTTCTCCTTTGAAGAGCAGCAATATATCTAAAATTGTGTGTATTTTTTCATAAAGTGGGTTTACTAGGTTTTAGTACTATAAATTATTTCATAAAATATCTTTAATTTTTATTTAAATGTACAAAAAAGTACATAAAAAAATTAAAACTGCAATGTTTTGAATCTTGTAAAAAAAAAAAAAAAAAAACATTACTCCTGTGTCAATTGCACATCCATGCACGTATTAAATCACTTAACATATATTTCAGTGAGGGCAAAAATGAAACTCTAAGAGCTGCAAGATACTGAAATTATTATTAATTTAATTCCAAACATTTTCACTAACTATATTATTTAAATTCTAACTAGCTATTCACAAAATTTCACATCATCTGGAATAATGAAACAATCCAAAACAAAACGTATAAAAAAGATTATAGTTGGATGAAACTTTATGTGCAAAGTTGTTTAAACTTTTTAAACTCAGCAGAATATATATTTTCAAGCTTCAACTTCACACATTATGTTCCAAGCCATGTTCAGGTTTAAGATGAGTGTAATTATTCAGTAGCTTCCTTCACCAATGATGTCTGCACCAGAAATGTTTAATATAGTTACATGTATACAGGCTTGGACTGGAAACTGTTTTCGGCCCTGACATTTTTCCATCTACACCGGCCCACTCATGTCACTGATTCTCATTTTCCAGCCCAAAAAAATTCATAAACTGCCTGGATAAACAAAATCCTAAAGCCTAATTTGAACCAAAGTCTATTGATCTCTTAGGCCATAAATCTAAAGAAAAATATCTTTCACCCATAGACTGCTTTCCTAAACCCCCAGATTGGGGAACATCCCAATCTGGCAACATGTACGTAAGACAGGAAACGTTAGCCTTTATGCAAAACCCCATCATGCACCTCAACATATTTTTGCAAAATTTTCGAACATAAATTCACCAAATACAAGAGGATCATCGTAGCTTGGGTTAAAGAAAGCATTTTAGTTTTATTATAATTTAGCTTGTTGCAAGGATTTTACAGTAATAGAAAATTACGCCATATGCCAAACGCATGACAAGGAAGGGCTATATATACTGCATGTATCATTTAGGTAGTTAATATTGTATTAGTTCTTGAGGTTTTTTTTGTTATTTACTGTCACAGGTAGGTGCTGCGGCTGGAGAGTAAAGGGTAGATTATACTTCTGCACCCGCACACATCAAATGTTGGCTTGCGTCTGGT